GAGAGAGAGAGTGAGAGAGAGAGAGAGAGAGAGTGAGAGAGAGAGAGTATGACTCAGTTGTCCTTCCCTAAAACCCAGAAATTTGAGATAAAGAGTGTCATACTGTCACCTGTCAAGTTGACCGCAATGTCTGTCACACACAACAACAGCACAAAAGAAACAACAATGTGCGCACGAGTCAGTGATAACACCACTCGCACGTAAGTGTCTGCCATAGTCCGTGCCCCGCCATTCTTAGAGAAAGGAAGAAATCTAACACCGTCCATCAAATGTTCCTAATTCAGTATTTGTGCCGCATCACATGTTTCTAAGCTGCAATGATCATGCACCGAAGCGCACACAAAAAACAAGGGATTCAAAGCACGCAAGAGACTGTGGTTTCCCATTCCGATTTTACAAACCTGTGGGCAACAACACATCCTGAAATGTTAAACGTTTGACAGACTGTGGTTCCTAAAACGACCACTACCTTTCCTGCTGTTGGGAAAATGGGAAAATAGCCTGCTCCTGAAAATTTGGGGGCTGGGCCCGACGGCGGCCGTTGATAAATCGCATCGGCGGCCGTCGTTTCATTTCGGCCTCCGAAACGATCAGGTACCCCACAATGTGAAAATGAGGGCCAGGTAGTGGTGCTTTAACAGCAATCATGGCGTACAGCAGAGCACAGACGCACGGGAGAGTTCGTTGCAAACTCCCCATGAGCACAGTGAAGAACATATTTTGAGCCGTGCTCAAAATATGTTCACGGCTCAAAATATGTTCTTCGCTGTGCTCAAAGAAAAGAATCAAGAGATGTACTTAGCTCGCCCAAAGATGGCTCAGGAGTCTGCTTCCATGATTGCAGTACTCAAGAGAAGTACCCAGATGTGTTCGAAGATGATGCAAGAGTATGCTCCCATCAGTTCTGTGCTCAAAAGATGACACAAGTTGTCTTCAACACAGTCATTCACTTTCACTGCTTACGGATGCCCACTTAAGCTGGCTAGGCAATTCATAGCAGCACTATTAAGGCAGCAAGAACGCTCAAAAGGTGTATTAGATAAAAAGGTAGGTGGGTAGATGAAGATGAAGATGTACATGTAGATCAGATCAGATAAGATTTGGATTTTATTTAGATTAGGCTAGGTAACGTTAGATCATATTATATTAGATAGAGAGATAGAGAGATAGAGAGATAGAGAGATAGAGAAATCACCAGATGTAAGGGATGGGATGGGATGGGAGGGAGGGAGGGA